TGTGATGTATGAATGCGTTTTTAATTTTATTATTTTTAATGTAATGGAGTCGATTCTGAGGTGCAATTTTTCTAAATTTATAACCTAACCTAATTAAAGATTACAATAATCTGATAATTTCTCAAAATTACTGAAAATAATACGAATTTTGACTTAAGTCTATTAAAAAATTTGTTCGTATAAGTCCTTACAATAAATATTTTGTTGTGATATCAAATCTTAATTTTTATTTTAGAGATTGGTTTAGAGAAATGATACCTCTAAATTGATCACAATTTGTACAAACGTAGCATTATTCATGGGTGAGTATGTCTTCTTCTTCTACTTAAAGTTGTGAATCAATTTCCTCCACTTAGCTCGATTTTCAACATCCTTCGTGGAGAGACCATTGGCTTCCATAACATGAGAGTGGCTTCACAATTAAAATTGCTTTTTAATACGGAACATATGCTTGTAAAATAGATGTTAGAGTTGACGTGAAAAGTGGTTGTAGTTATAGTTAAGTTACTTAATTTTATGAGCACACACATTACAATGCACTTATTGCAGAGCAGTAATGGCGACCGGCGGAAACCGCGGTGTTGCCATATAAAAAGTCGCCATATATATATTTGTCGACTTAAACAATAGATGACTAGACAGATGATATCCTGTCCAAATTTTAATGAGATCTTATTTTGAGGTTCATATTGTTTTTTGTCTTTTTATCATGTTCCTTTGATGGCGTTGGGGTCAACTAATAAAGCCTCTTTGAAGTAAACATTTCTACAGTTTGACGTCACGATGTCATGGCGTAATTTGAAAACATAACGAAGAAGAGTCAACTAAGTATATAAATATATATTTTTATTAGCAAAGTTTTCAATTAAAAGCATATACAATTTTATTCACTTTCTAACTAACTATTTTAATTTTTTAATTTCCTAAAATCTTAAATAGGGCTATTGTGAACATTTAAAAAAATGATTCGTCGAAATCAATTCATTCATTCTTATGTTGCGCTTCACAACAAACGGAATTGCATATATATAGCCTATCATTAGAAAGTAGCGTATAAACTATCCCACAAATACGGCCTGTGCAAACGAGGGATGTTTTATCTGCGAACAAAGTTTCATTTTATTTTTGTCTCAGCTCCTCCAGAGCTTCAGACAGTCTGAACATTGCCTCTCGTCGGATTTAAAATCAATCAATCCTTAGTATAAATTTTAGACCAGTCCTAATAAAACTTCTGAAATTAAATACAATGACACAGACGTGATTTAAACTTATCTTAAAAACGAAACTTTTTAAACTTAAAATTATGAAGCATTTCTGAATAGTATTTTTATGAATCTATATCTCAATTAGGAATGTAATTTAAGTTCAGAAGAACGGGCAGGAAACTAAAAAGGTGTTGCATTTTTAAAAGTATACCTATATAAGTATGAATAAAAAAAGTTACATAATGAGATATTTTTTCCACCTATAAAATGTTATAGTTGTTTATGATTTAAGAAGAAACTTACAATTTATTTACAAAAATCCATCAAGTCTGCAGTTACGTAGGCGGTATGTCAAAATATATATCAAATTTCTTTTTTTAATCGGCATTCGAATAAAAATAAAGTTGAAACTTCTTTCCTACGATTATTTATCAATGTCGGTTGAAAAGAACGCGGTAGCTTTACACATGTCGGAGCGACACAGGAGCACCTGTTTCTATTTCTATGCTTTGTAATGGCACAAGTTGCTTTATCTCGAGCTTTTAATAGCATCTTGAACATTGTTTTTATAAGGCTTTCCTTTTACACATTCTAAATAATAATAAATTATCCAAACATAGATGGTCATTAGTATAAACGAAGACCCAAAGTAAATATGAGTAGATGGACTGTTTGTAAGATGATATGACCTTTATTTGATAGACTTTATCAGAGGGAGACTTTGTACAAAAGTTGTTTGCTTGGGCATCTCTGTGCTATTCGTGTTTCTACCTGAAGCAGTTGTGTTTGCATGACTATATTTCGGTTTGAAGGGAAGGATATTGGCAGTGAATTTACAGGGTACAGAGGAATAACACTCAAGTCCTCAGGAATGGCAACACATGGGGGGTATCATGGGCCAAACAGTATATTTTGTTATGTGTAAGGTACTGCATATGTAGGGTCGGCAACGCGCGCGTAATACCTCTGGTATTGCAGGCGTTACGGCGCTACGGTAACCGCTTACCATCAGGTGGGCCGTATGCATGTTTGCCATTCTAAGTTGCATAAAAAAATCAGTTTAATTATATTTTGGTATATATACACACACACAACACACACACACATATATATATATATATATATATATATATATATATATATATATATATATATATATATTATAATTATTTTTAATGAATAAATAAATAAGCAAATAAAAATATATTTAAACAAATATGTTTAGTAAAGCGACGATTATGTTAAAATTAAATCCTAAAGATACGTAAAATAGAATACATAAATTTAAAAACAATATAATATTAAAAAATTTAATAAACATCTAAGGTATCATTATTAAACAAAATTTTAATAAAACTTAAAACTTTGACTTCCATGTCTATTTAATGGGCTGATAAAGAATGTCATAAAGCATAAAGCTCGACAATTGTGCGAGTTAAACTCATACACCGAGGGCTCCTTACAGATATAATTATAAATATATAAATATGAGATAAGTTTTATCTTCATTTCTCATATGAAATAGATGTTTAATAGTTATTAACTTATTATTATTGATACTACAGTTCGTAATTTCTTATTTTGAGCCATAATATCAGTTAAAGCTGGACCGCATAACTAAGTTTGTTCTCGAAGTTTCAAAACTATTTAATTTTTCCTGTAATATTCATTTTTGTATAAGCTGTAATTATTTCAGATTATTTACTTAAAAATTTCAAATACTAAGGAGTATAGTATATTGCTGAGATAGTATTTTGCTCGCGTTTTAGATCATAACTAAAAACACTGCGTATCATAAAAATCTGTCTTAAAATGTGCAAATGACTCTTTCATATAAGTACTTCTTTTGGACCCCAAGCAAAGAAAATAAAAATATGTTTTCTATTGCTATATTTCTACTGCAATATGTGTTTAAATTTCGAATCAATAGCTAATTATTAGTAATTGCTGAGATATAGAGCTATGACAGACGAACGGATTGACGGGCAAAGTCGCACCATAAGGTCTTATTTGTATCTTTTCGGTACAGAACCCTAAATATCTACGTGTCTGTTAGAATTTTATTTGACTCTACCTCAGACTAGTAAAATCGCCATACACCTTTTCAAATAGTCTTTTTTTTTATTTATTTATGGTAGGTCTGTGTTTGATCCTACCTAATTTGATGGCGAATTTGATATTTTATATAAATAAATACATATTTAATTTTTGAGATCTTATTTCACCTAATAGTACAATACCTAAATAAGAATTAAATATTTATATATTACATAAATATTTAATAACTTATTTGTATAAAAAAACATTTTTATAAATGAATAATTTACATTAGAATATAAGTTATATATTCGAATCTGACCGATAGAAAAAATTTTGTATCATATAAAATGTTCGGCTAACTCTACTGTGATCGATGACTTTTTAAAACCTATATTTGACACTCACAATTGACAAATTGACACTGTTTTTGCGGGTAATAAACAATGTTCCTAGGTTCTATTTTAAAATTGATCAAAGCGTCCTGGTCCTTGTTTATTACCAATAAAATCGAATTGTCAAATAATTGTATTACGGGAGTCAATAACGGTGGTGTTACCCTTAAAAATGAGTGACGACTGAGATTGCATTTCCCAAAATTCCTATGGGAACAGGGGGTAACGGGATTCGCCCATGTGAAGCCATGAGAAACAGTTACTTTGGAGCACCGTGACTACTCGCTCGTGACCTATAAACACTCATAAGACCTCAAAAGTCGTGAGTTCAAATCCCAAAGGTCGAGAATTCAGAGCCAACAACAAAAAGTTTGATTAGACACACGAAATGTAAGGTATATTTGGGAGTTTTATACTCTCCAGAAATAGAAAATACCGTAAACAAACTGAATTAATCCAAAAAGTGGCTATAGACTCCCATAATATTTTGTTGAAACATGAGCATTTGTAATGTGACTCGTTCTCCATAATAGCAACCAGTAAACAAAGACTACTGCATCTGACTGCCCCATTTTGAATTATAGTCGTGAGTAGATGTAATTATGAGTTTGGTTAATTCCATACGTTTTTTTTGTAACCTAAGTAACGTAATAAGTCGTGCTTACGTAATAGGCAGGTCTGAAAAAATAAACAAATATCGGTATTTAAAAAAAATCCAAAAATATTATTAGCTATTTTGTGATTTCAGTATTTAATCCCTTATTTGCAATGTATTATATAAAAGTGGTATCCTTTAGGGATTAAGTACTTTGTTGTCCACATTGTCCGGCTCCTGTCTATCAATTTGTTTCCACTTACAAAGGTTGGGAGTTATTTCTCTATACCTGTCTAAAAAAAGTTGTGAAACAACCTTTGTCAGTAGGATAGATCTATTGTAGATCTATCGTCATTTTTTTAATAAATATATATTCTTCTTCAATATTACATATGTAATTAATAATTAAACTCTGTTCTATCGCTCAATGAGTCGAATGATAGCCCCGATCTACTGGAGGGAGGGTGCATCACGCACGTGTTGTCAGATTAATTGAATGCCATGCCTCCAGCGTGGCCCCCGCCTCTCCCTCGCCGTCGCCGGCGTCACTTGCACAAAATACCTACCTAAATAAACAAATCGCTGAGCCATTTCACTTCGCCATACACCAAGTGATCTCTACCGTATATGCTCTTTCCATACGACTAATGCACTCCTCAGATTTTTTCGTCATTACGTTTTTCATACGTTCTATAGGCGCGGGTCGCAGGGCGCGGGCGGGGCAAGTGAGGACCGCGGGGCGCGGCGGGTCGCGCGGCCTCTCGCGTTTAGTACAGCGCTCAGCGAGTGTCGGACGCTCGGCTTCGCAGTCGACGACCTTAGTATTCTTCGTTTATTTTCTTTTCTATTCGTTTAATTTATCGCTCGAACCTCACGGCGTTATAAACATGAAATGTGTCGTCGTCAGTGAGTGAATTTCGGGTGTTACCGTGTTTACTGAAATTTTATTTTGACAGTTCACGTGCGGAATCAAATTATTACCGGTTCCGGAGTTTTCAAGTGTTTATTATACATACACGGCCTTCATTTGCCGCGGATAGAGCCGGCAGATCGTCAAAAAGGTGAGCTAGTGGTTTTCATAGTGGCATTAGTAAGGAATTCTCGTGGGAACAACTTGTAAAGTTCATCCGGTGATTCGGTGTTTTGTGGTCGTTGTTAGAAAAAGTTATAACGGATATCTTCCAGTAGGATTTATCTCGGAAACTTGTGTGAAGTGCGTGTGCCGGTTGAGTGAAATCGGTGGTGCTTACAACTTAGAACATAACCTTATTCGAACGGGGCGCGTGTTGCACGGGCATGCGCAGTACGGGTCATTGGAATTATTAATAAGTTACTTACAATTTTATAAACAAACATTCAACTGTGTGCTTACCTGGTGTCGTGGTGCGTTGCTAATAAGAACCGCACGCAGTGTCCGCGGAGAACAGCGCGGTTCATCCTGTCGACTGATCATAAACATTTGTGGATTTTTAAATCCAGGATAACGTTCACCTGTGGGATTTCGGTGTATTACCTGCGCGCGCACCGGACTTCTTTACAAAGGTGAGTGAAGTGTGTAATCTACCTTCCGCGCCACATACCTATGCAAATTTACTCATTTCTCGCTTCAGATCATTTTGCATGACATTGACCCATTGTTTTACATTGTTTTGTATATCTAATGACTTTCCATCAGTAAATTTTACTTGTGAACGTTGTTTGAAGTTGAAGACTATTTTTGCTTTATCTGTAATATGAAAATGTAATTTATTTTTTCTTTGTTTTCTTTTTTAGTAAACAAGCGTGACAGTTAAAATAATATACTTCATTAATTGTTAGGATAATGATATTTTTGTGTTAAGTGATTATTTGTTATTGGAGATTATATAATATATAATTATATATTAACTTAATTTACACCATATTCTTCAGGAATTGCAACGTGTTCGGGGTGTACGAGTAACTAACTACCTACTCTACCTTAATGAATTGCATCAATTCATTTGTGGTCGACTCTACTCGACTTTGAATTAACGAAACTTTAAAAGCTTTATTTCTACCTCCTACATTTTTGTTTTTACCCATTTAACTTGTAGGTATACATACATACATACACACATTTGTGTTGGTGTAATGTGGGGACGAAAGTCTCCATTGCTAACAAAATCGTCAGGTTGTTGATTGTTCATTGTTTTTTCTTTAAAAACAGTTTTAACTTCTAATTTCATGTTCCAAAACTGCAGATGCTGCAAGCAGAGGAAAGTTGTGCCGAGATCCTGATGTGGAGTTAGACTTTGGGGCCTAGATTTCTAACAAAAAAAAAAGGAAATTTTATGTCAACTTGCTATTTATGTTTTGAATCAATAGTTTTTAATTTCATCTACTAAACCAACTGCATTCATTGGCTGCTTGAAATTGTTTGACTATTAATGCCCAATTGTTCTATTTACTAGTACCAATCCAGCTATTGTTTAATCAACTGGTAGTAAGACTGACCTACGCAGTTACAAACTGCTTAAGGTCATGTTACAAAGATAGACGATTTCCTGTAATCATTTAAACAATAGAATTGCGTTAATTTTATGCAGGTATCAAAAGAGCTTTAAAAAAAATTCTACTGCAGGCAAATACGTGAGACGTGCGCGACTTATAATAATATCAGGATTTGAGTAGACAAAAGTTTTTAATGGATGCTATCTATTAGCGTGTGAAAAATGTGTCTGTCGATGTATTTTCTGTAATGCATGATTCCCGGTGTCAGAAAGAGATAATAAGTAAGAGTGTAGCCAAGTTATTTGGCATATCGTGACGATTTCACCAGGTACATAAGGTATTTAGGGCGAATTGCGTGGTCGACCTGTCAGGGTACATTACTAGTTTTTTTTTTAATGGATGATAATGGAATGGTAACCCCACCCGCGCTATCAGTATACACCGGCGGGGCACCAGTGAGGGATGATAGGTGAGGATGAAGTAGGTCAGTTAGCCCATCGTGACGAATTCAATAAGAATTGTTCACGATGGTTTCCAGGGGTAACCACGTGGAGGTCGACCTAATAGGGCATATTGCTAGCAATGGGGCTGTCAAACACCATTGCTAACAATCCCATTCCCCCCGGTACATTACTAGTAATTGGGCTAATCCCTTACTGAGCATCCTTTCTCTCTCTGCTGTAACCGTAATTTTTTTAATGAATAAAAATGGAATGGTAACCCCACCTGCGCTATTCGTATTCACTGGTGGTTACTACTAAGTGATGATTGATGAGGATGAAGTCAGATCAGTCTGTACATAATGATTTTCACTGGAATGCAACCACAATAACTATAATTTCCCGAAAGAGGCGAAGGGTTCTAAAGATAGTGTCTGTGTTTTTTTTTTGATGGTTGAAAATGGTATGGTAACCCCGCCTGCGCTAACGGGACACGCTGGCGGAGCACCAGTGAAGGGTGATAGATGAGAATGAAAACAGGTCAGTTAGCCCATCATGATGAATTCATCAGAAATTAACCATGATAATTTCCAGGGAGAATCCCGAGGAGGTCGACCTGGTTGGGTATATTGCTAGCAATAGGATTCTGTCTCCATTACTAACAATCTCTTTCCTCTTTCTCTTTTCTCTTCTCTCTTTTGTGTGTGTGTTTAGTATTTTATATCAGAGACTCATATGGCCTTATGGCGGGAAAGGGTTTGTTAGTAATGGGGTGTAATAGTCCACATTGCGACTAAGGGCTCCATTACTAGCAACTAGGTCGACCTTCACGTGAACCCCCGAAACCATCGTAGTTAATTTCTGGTGAATTCTGCACGATGGGCCGACTGACCTGATTTCATCTTCGCACATCACTAATCACTGCTATCCCGCCAGCGTATATTGATAGTGCAGCTAAGGTAATCATTCCATTAGCATCTCCTAAAAAAACAGACCCACTGTCAGCATTATACTTTATTATTGTGGTTAATTCTTGTCGAATTTTTCGTGATAGGTCAAATGATTTAATTTTATCCTCACCTGTCATCTCTCACTGGTGCTCCGCCAGCATACTCGTATATTGATAACGCAGGTGTGGTTACTATTTCATTTTCACCCGTTAAAACATCTCTGCCCTTGCCATAGTTATAAAGAAGGATTTATTGTAGGTAAGAAGTCATATTTCAATAACATTCAAAGCAACGGAACACCATCGCATAAAATATATTATATTTTATAGGACTTACACCGTTTCAGTCATTCGATATGTTTGTTAATTGTGGCACGAAATGGCCACGTACAAACGGTAGGTATACCTGTGCCATGTTTTGTTTATTACTTTAACTGTTAAACGGCTAACGAAATTGACGGGTATAAAATAAAAATATCTGCATATATTTAACACCCTTGTTGATAAAAAATAATAATATAAAAAGAAGTAACATTTATGAATACTTGAGTACTATGTTTTAGTAAAACATATAGGTATATATATATATATATATAGAGAGAGAGAGAGAGAGAAATGAGTGAAAAAACAAACGGTAATATGGTAGAAAAGTGCAATTACTAGAATATAGAATCATGCGGTGTTATTAAGGACAAGCATAAGAACATACAACACAGAATAAGAGAACATAATAAGAGCGATTCAGCCATTACCTAGGATGCTCTTCTGTTTTTTTTTTTGTGTTATTATTTTGTGATGTCAGATGAATGAATACAATTACATTAACTATATTATAATCCACAAGCTAGGATACTTCATAATTTAAGAATTTAAACAACGAACTTCTAGGACAAAACTTCCTGAGTTTTTTTTATTCAAGCTAATTTAGAAATGTTTATTTCATAAATTTGTCTGATTGAGAATTTAAATCGGGACCTTGCTTACGTAATGTAATGTGTCCACCATTTCGCCATGGAGGTCATCGCGCCAACCTTCACTCGCGTTTTTGATATTGAGTAACAAGCATCTAAGCATCTTCACAATTTTTTACACATGCCAGAGGGAGAATTAGGTTTTAAGGTCGTTTGCTTGAATACTGTTCCATCAGTCTTTTTGCCGTGAAGCGGCTGTGCTTGCATGGCTATGTTTTGATTAAAAAGGTGGATATGGCAGCGAAACTATAGTAACACATCGTAGTCTTCAGGAATTATAACGAATAAAATGTACCGTGATCTTTACCACGTATTCTGTGATACCTATGAGGCTGTTTATGTCTATTGTCGTCGATCACTTTACATCAAGGCCCCTAGCTTTTTTGCTATTCTAAGTCCCTTAAAAAGAAATTTATATGTAGCAGTTTGGGTACTGAAAGGTTGACACTAAGCTTTAAACAGTGATCTATTATTTTGCCTAAAGATGTCTCGTTTAGGGGCGAAACACATATAACAAAACATGCGCAGACGAAATGGCAATCGGAGATTGATAGCTAATATGGAAGGTTGTAGAACTTCTCGTAATAATAATAGTAATCTTTGAGTGTTGGCAATCGCATACATACTAATGACAGAGAAAAGAACACAATAATTGTAATCAAATAATCAGTGATATGGAATTTCGCAAAATAACACCTAGTTTAGTAAAAGATAATTATAATATTAGTAGGATATAATAGGAAACTATTGAAATGCGATGTGGTATACAACCTTTTGGAAATCATGCGTTTTGTGTGAATGTTTCAATAGAGGGGAGCGATGATACGGTCTTATCTGTAACTAACATTGTTGACACACGTCAATGTAAAGTTGGGCCTGCGGTCTCGTATGTATAGGAGACGAAAGGCGAGAATAGATCCGATTGATTACGAACGTTCCCACGGATAACGTTACTGATATGATTAATAATAAAAATAATAAAGAATTACTTATGTGTAAGTTAGTAAAAGACCAAAGCTCGTCACCCTCCGAGCATATACATCTGATAATGAAAGTGGCGTACTTTCAATAACATGATAATATTGTACAATATTTTTTATAGTTTAGTGTTTTTAGTTTTATTTTTTAAACTACAAAAAGACATGTATTTAGATGAACTTTCACTTTGTTTACGTAAGGCCGGCAGCACACCTGCAATGCCGCTGGTGTTGTGGGTGATCATGGGCGGCGGTAGTCACTTACCATCAGGTGAGCCGCATGTTCGTTTGCCCCTGTGTTGTAAAAAAAATAATCAGTTCTCAAATTTGATCAGACGTCTACTCAACTACTTCAATCTCTTCTCTTTTCATTTAAGAGTTTCCTCTTGTCGGTGCAACTAATTCATGCATTTTCTTTCAGCCAGTTCTATCCCAGGCCATATCCTTGACCTCCCTATACGACAGACACCACTTCAATATATTGTACTATTCTATCTTAAATTCTTTGTAAAATTAGGTATTACAATACCGTTATGGACCAATATAACATTGATTAATGAGAGCATTCTGTACAATGTCCGGGCAATAGAAACAATCACAAATATTAATTAACTAAACAGTGTCTGGTCATTATAAATATTGCTACTTGTTTGTTGTGCAATTTGGTAATTTAGGTACTTTAGGGTCTAGCGCTAAATGTCCTGTGGGTAAGATAGATGACACCCACCGTGAG